CCTTTGTCTGAGGCCTCCATCCATTCCCCACCTCTACCCTGTCTGTGTCCAAGCTGACTGCCTGCCAGGCAGCAGCACCTCCCTCCAGAGTTTTATCTCAGATGGGGCTGTGTTTCAACACCCCTAACTTCAGAGACCCCCGTGGCTTGGACTCTTGCCAACTCTCTGGGGGAGGGTCTCACTGAGCAACGGCTGGGTACCAGCTTGCCCCAGAAAACGTTCATGCGATTGCACAGAAGCAGAGGTTCAGAGATTATGGCAAATCACAACACACAGCTGGCGCCGGGATTCACCACACTCTGACATCTTTGTTCCAGTACCAGCAAATGTGACTGCTCTCTGGAGTCTCCTGGGATCTTTGTGGGGAGGCCGTATGGCCTCTACCACATGCCCTCCAATCAGGGGAACCGCTTCTCCCCATGTGGCACATGGCCCCTTAGACTCTGCTGCCTGTTCCTGGGGATTCGCCCTGCTTCCTCACCAGAGCACCACCAGGCACTGGGTTGTGGAAGTTCAGACTCTCCTCCACTGTTTATAGAATCCTGTGGTATTGAAACCCTCTCCTTTCTTCCCGTCAATGGTTTTGGGTAACAGATTTCTTGTTCAGTCCCCTGTGAGTGTTTTCACTCTTTCTCTCCAGCTACCTTTTGGGGAAGTGCTTTTCTGGCATGGTACCAATGCAATGGACTCCCCCTTTCTTTTTTTTTTTCCTCTGTCCTCTCTCTGAGAAAAGGACTTCCTACCCTCTACGGCTTTTCTCTCCCCCAGTTCATCTCTCCACACAGCATACCTGCTGAGTTTTGTGGCTCAAGTTTTGCAGATTATTGTGTTATTCCTCAATTTCTTAGGTGTTCAAAATGGGTTGGTGCTGATGTAGCTGAGTTTCAGGGACGAGACAAGCTCAGGGTCCCCATACTACTCTGCCATCTTCTCAATAAGCCATTCTCAGTGTTGGAAATGTATTCTTAATTCCATTTGTGAATTGTTTATTGCAGCAAACAGAAATACAATTCAGCTAGTTATGTAAATTTCATACACTGTAACCTTGCTAAACGTGCTCTGTATTTGTTTCCTTATAATTTTCTACATGTAGTATCCTATGATCTGAAAATAGTTTTACTTCTTCATTTCCAGTCTGCATGCCTTCTTTTTTCTTGCTGCCTTCTCTTGGTATACTCAGCAATACAATCTTACATGGAAATGGTGAGAGCCACATGCCTTTCAAAATTAAAAAAAAAAAAAAGAATTCTGAGATACTCTTGGGGCACCTGGGTGGCTCAGTCGGTTAAGTGTCCGACTTTGGCTCAGGTCATGATCTCATGACTTATGGGTTTGAGCCCTGTATCAAGCTCTGTGCTGACAGCTCAGAGCCTGGATTGGATTTGTGTCTCCTGCTTTGGATTCTGTGTCTCCCTCTCTCTGCCCCTCTCCTGCTCGTGTTCTCTCTCAAAAATAAATATTAAAAAATTTTTAAATAAAAAAAAGAATTCTGAGATACTCTTAACTCTGTGTGTTTCAGGTAAGGGATTGCAAATCTGTAGCAACTAACTTTTAAGGTTGTTAGGGTTAAATGAGAAACCACATAGAAGATGCTTAGTGTAATTCCTGACACAAATCAGTACCCTCATAAAATGTTGCTGTGTAGAAAGAGAATCTTGGCTGACCACTGGCAGACCAGCATTGGGAATCAGGACTTGACACTGGGGATGGGTGGTTGTCGGTGGCCTATAGTGGTAGGGGATGATCCACAGCAAGCGTCAGCATGGTTTTTGTCAGCCTCTTCAGGAATTTTTGGTGTTGTGAGAGCTCTGCCAAAGTACCTGAGGTTCAAAGTAGCCAAGCCCAGCACTCCCATAGATATAGTGAAACAAGGTTTATAACGTGGAAGGAGTGGAGTTGTACCGAGGAACGACTGTTGTTGGGGCATGAGTAATATGAGGGGATTATTTGGGGCATATATTATATCAAAATTAAGAGAAAACCCTTCATTATTTCCCTGCGCATTTCTATCTCCTTCCTTGAAGGTTTATTCTAGAAGTTGTTCCACTGAGGGGCTGGAAATTTGGTAACGTAGGAATAACCCGTGAGATGAGGAAGAGATAGCATGGGGAGGGAACAGGGTCAGGAGGGAGTCTTAGTGGCACCTTCAGCCTTGTTGGGATGTAGCACTTCTCTACTATAGAAGGTGACGGGTCCACGTGTAATGATTCAGTCCCACTGCCGATTTCCTCTAAGGAGAGCCAAGCATTGTGGCAGCCAGTAAAGGCCACGATCTCTTGTTGGTAATGCTGTCCTCACCAAACACTAACTTGGAGAATTGGAGATCCTCTGGTGGCATTAATTATTGCAAAGCTCCTACACCTGTCTTCATTCATTACTTTGACAAAAATCTAATAAAGTGATCAACATCCTTCATAGTTAGTGTATGGTATGCCAATAAAGATGTTAGAGTCCAACCAAGAAACTTTGGGGATTGTTGGATCTCACTAATCAAACAATTTAATTCCCAGTCTTTATTTACCACTATGGGTGCTTTAATGACCAAGGTTCTGTGAGCTTTTAATCATGATCGTTATCACAATACTAAGATTGGCATTATACAGAAAAGGCCCCTATAGGCTGGCAGTGCTTCTTTAAAACACATTCAGTCATCAGAAAGTCACACAAAGGAGCTTCTTTATGTAAAAACCACAAGGCACACAAGGCAAATAGGTGATGGTGTCAAAAGGCATCGTGTTGTGTCCTTTCCTTCTCGTCAGGGTTTGCTCATTTGAATGTCCAAAGACAACGTTGCAAGCCGGTGGCGGTAGCCATGTGCTGACTGATGGCTCCATCACTGAAGCAACAGGTAGTTTTCAGAGGCACAGACCTGGTGCTGAGTGATGGAATCTAGAGAAAGAGAAAAGCAGTTTAGCATTTATAATGGCCAACCACACGGTAAAATAATAATCTTATATATATGCAAAGTCATATTTTAAAGTCTTAGGCGGTTTAGAGCCGTGTTGTCTATGTGTCCACATGCCCACATAGCACATGTGACTATTTAAAATAAAGGGGCGCCTGGGTGGCTCAGTCGTCTAAGGCTTCAACCCTTGGTTTCGGCTCACGTCATGATCTCACGCTTCGTGAGTTCAAGCCCCACGTCGGGCTCTGTGCTGATGGTGCAGATCTTGCTTGGGGTTCTCTCTCTTTGTTCCTCCCATACACACTCTCTCTCAAAATAAACTTTAAAATAAAATGAAAATTGAATTTAAAAAATTCAGTTCATCAGTCATACTAGCCACATTTTAAGTCCTCGACAGGCACATATCCTGCAGATACAGCATATATAGGGTGTTCCCATCATGGCAGAACGTTCTATTAGCCGGGTGGCAAGTTTGCCAGTCCATGGCGGGAGAGACCAGGATTGTAATCTCCATTAGCTATAGAAAATACTCTCCGGCACAAGGCAATTTATATATAAATATATTAGTTTTAGTTACGGTACTAACTACACATTCTAGGCTGTGTATCTACCAATCCACAGCCCGTCTACCTCGCTAGTATACAAAGTTAGTACGCACAGTTTCTAAAATGCAGGTCTTCATATTTAAGTTGAAGAAGCTGGACTAGTCCTGTCAGTTTGAAAGCCTGTTATTTTATGAAAATCACAAGAAGTCACCTGGTCCAGGATAAGCTATAGATGCAGAAGAACAGGCCAGCAGGAGACTATACTGCTCTAGGCCCTACTTCTATGAGGACGATAGAGGAATCCAATGGGTTGGCAGCACTGGTTGAATTACAAATTAAATTACAGTTAATGTAGTTTTTATAATTTATTTTTATTTCTTGAGCGAGAGAGTGGGGGAGGGACTGAGAGAGAGAGTGAGGGAATCCCAAGCAGACTCCATACTCAGTGAGTAGCCTGACATGACCCTGGGATCATGGCCTGAGCCAAAGTCGAATGCTTAACCGACTGAGCCACCCAGGTGCCCCTACAGCTCACTTATTGATTACAACTATTATCCACAGGGAGAGAGAAATGATACTGAAGGACCTTAAGACATCACGACGATGAACGATAGCAGACGGAAAGTCAAAACACAGGTTTGTTCTATGAATAGGGGGAAAAGATGGAAGAAATAGGGGTGCATCTTAGCTGGAGCTCTAGATCGTGTCCCAGAAGTTAGTCGTCATTTGCCCAGTGCAAACGCATTTCCACACAAGAGGTCTGAACTGGTCAGCTTTCAGCAGGGAGAAGCACTACCATTTGTCACGTGTATAATATACATTATGTATCATTAAAATTAATATATCCAGCAGAATAAGAACAATTCTTATTAGTACTCAGTAAAACCACTTCTCTCCACAACCCAGTGAAGCAGTATTTTAATATCAGACCTTTATTCGTGGATGTGTTGTACATATTTTCTCTGTTATTCGCCTTTTGACTTTCCTGATGCAAAAAAGTGTTTTGTTTTTGCATTCAGATCATGTAAATCTTTTACTGCAGTTGGACTTTGAACCATAGGTAGAAAGCCTTTCTTTGTACCCAGTTTTAAAGCGTATCAGTCATATTTTTTTCCAGGTTGTAAAACCCTGTAGATTCAATTTTTACACTTAGATTTCTGACAGGATGTCATTTTCCAAAGCCAGAAAACATTACAAAAAGGGTGGTGATTTTTAAAATTAATCTAAAATAGAATTTAATGAAAAAAAAATGCCACATATTTCTTTTAAAAAAAGTGGCATACTTATTCTGACATTTATACCAAAGAAAAAATACATAGGAAGACAATTTTGAAAAAAATGAATAATGAGAGACAATTTGACATGCTAGATACCGAAACACATTACAAAATTACAATAGTAAAATAGTATGTAATTAGCACACAACAGATAAATAGACCAATGGGAAAGTCTGGAAACATGTCCACGCACATATAGGAATTTTAACAGGTGAGTCACAGGGCATTCCAAATCAGTGCAGAGGGGACAAGGTACTACATAGATGGTATGATCCCTTCACATCACACAATAAATAGGTTACAGATGAATTAACACTGTAAACATTTAAAAAAATGATGGAAGCATTAACAGAGATAAGAGACAGGTTCTGGAGCTCAGGGGGTAGAGATGACCTTCCAAAGTGAAACCCAAATTCAGGTGCCTCAGGAAATAAGGCATTTGAATCCATGAAGAATAATAATTAAATATTAAAACATTTGTAACCCACAACAATCAATAAACAAAATTAAAAATGAGACAGATTGAAAGAATTTTACACTTAGACCACAGGGCGAGGGTCCATGTTATACACATATTCTGTAGAACAGCGTGAAAAGGAAAAATAGCCAGTGATAAGGATAGGTGACCCATGAAATATAGCTCCCTCTCTATTCATACTCATTAGTAATTGAGTAATTAGGGGACGACAAATTGAGTAATGACACCTATTTGTTTAATTTATCAGATCACCAAATATAAAAAATATGGGTAACGTCCAGTACTGGTGAAGATGTGGAGGAAATGGAGACGTCCATATGCTGTAAAAGTATAAAGTGGCACAGCCGTGGGTACCCAAACTTACAAGTACACGTAAGCGGGGGCACAGTGATGTCACTGCTATGAATCTGCTCTACACGAACATGCATGCCTGGGATTCGGCGGGGATAATTACAGCTCAAAATAATCTCTTAAAACTGAATTCAAACTGTTCCAGTTAGAACACACACATAAAGCGTACAATGGCAGAAACGGTGGAAATCACCCCAAACGTCCAATAATAAGGAGCGCATGGCTTAATTGCACGTCTCCAATGGTTAGAAAGAAGTAGCTGTATGTGTGTAAAATGGAAGGCTCTCCTAGAGAGAGTCAAATAAAAACTCAAGGAACAATATGTAACCCTCCATTTATAGAAGGACCCTCAAGCAATACACAGGTTTATACACATTTATTTCTTTTTAACTATGTCTAAAAAATCTAAAAAACACTCTTCCAGCTTTACTGTAGTATAAGGAAGGGTTGTAAGATCTGGGGACCCTATGTCTGTCTCTATTCCAGTTCTTTGACCGTGAAATCTAGCGTCACCCCACATATCCATGCATCCATTCATTCATTGTGGTGGAGAAAAAGGTTGACTAGAGAAGAAGTTTTAAATTTAGATAAAATAGAACCCTAAGTGTAACCTCACAACAAAGTCTGTGGCTGGCCCCTCACGCTTGGTGTGGTAGGCTCAATTAACCCATGGACTTTCGAGAAATGGTACTTGAGGTACATGCAGTGTTGAGCTTATGCGTATGGTAAGCAAAGCAGGGATTCAGAACGGAAAAGCATCTGACTGCTGAGTGATGGCTGGCAGCCAGGACATCCTTGTCCAGGGAGCCCCTCATGTTTCCAAGTTTCCAAATGTAAACACACACATGAAAAATGACTTCTACCCAAGTTCGTTTGTCATCTAAAGATAGTCACTCCCCTAATTCCAATGTCACATCATACAAATAGCCCTCAAACACCCCGTATAATGTAACCAATGGTACAGATGTTAGAGTAATGCCAGTCTGCCCAGCGGAAAGAGACAGATGGTACATGAGCACCTCCCATTAAATTTGCACTGAAAAAAAAAAGACGTGGTGTTTGTATTTTAACAAGGTTTTTTAGCAGGTCTTGGCACAGGTTTATGCACGAGTTAAAGTTTACTGGCCTTTCTTCTGTGTGGTCTGATGATTAGGATAGTGAAGGAACATGCTGCTAGCTATTTTTTTATAGTGTGGTGGTGGGCAAGCCACTTTCTTGAACTAAAACTCTAATGGCCAACAGCCAAATGTGGTTAATGGTACTGTGCACAGAGAGTGCTAGAACCCTCAGAATGCTGTTGGGAGCTTTATCTTAGCTTATCACAATCAGCTGACTATTCCAGGGCTGAAGCATGAGTGGCCATGTGGCCAGACATTCACTCAATCAAGGAATCAGCTCTCCTCCTTAATAGAATGAGGGTCACTCAGCTTCCGGGAACACTCAGGACAGGGTTTTGACACTGAAGGTGCTCTTAGAAGTAGGGATGAGCAGGTTACAAATGACCCTAAAATCCTTTCTCCTAATGAGCCCACAGCTGCCCACTGTGTAATTTTCATCTGTTGATCTCCCTTCTCTCTGGAACCACAATGAACAAGACTTCCTCCCCTCTTTTGATGGTAGTCTTGCCAGCTCCTCTTTTGGATGCTGAATAAACCACTATTCCTTCAGTACTTCCTCAAGGATCCTGATCTCTCGAAACCTCAGCATTCTCTCAGATGCTCAAATTCCAGTCTAGAAGTCATCTTTGACTCCTCTTTCCTAATATATCACGTGCAATCTATCAGCAAGGCCAACTGGCTCTAGAATTTTTATTTAAAACCTGGCAGCTTCTCACCACCTTCAGTGATATCATCCTAAATGTAACCACCACCATTTATCACCCAAACCACTGCAAGAGCCTGTAACTGCTCTCTCTGCTTCTATTTAAAGATATGTATTCCCCTACTTAAAATCCTATGGTAACTTCCTTTTATTTTTAGAACAAAAAAACTAAACTTCTCACCATGGTCTATGAGGGCCTTGAGTGGTCCAGCCTCTGGCTACTTCTCCAGCATCATTTCCAATCAGACACTCCATACTTAATGCCTCTCCTCCTTGTCTACCTTGATCCTAGCTGTTCCTTTGGTCTGAAAGGCCAGTGCTTTAGATCTACACGGGTCCACCCTTCTGTTCATCGTTGGGGTCTTACCTCAAATACAGCCCTTCCGCCAGGGCCAACCTCACTTTCACTATAAATACTCATACCCTGTTTTCTTCATAGCATTGATCACCAACAGGACTTAAAAAAAAATTATCTTCATTAGAATATAGGTCCCAGGGTGCCTGGGTGGCTC